AATGTTCTGAGCGATCGCGAGGCCATGGCGTTCTGTCATATTCTATAATTATTTAATGACGTACACAAGTAGTATATTATACGCCATACAGCGACAACATTTATTTTAAATACACACACAATAGCATCATAAATACAAAATGTTGAGAACAGCGCCCTCTTCGGGGCAATCCTCAATGAGAATCTCTAGGTGGGCGATGGACCCGGTGTGCGGGGTTCGATTGCGATGCGACTCCCACGTCATCACATCATTGTTTTCAAATTACTCAAAAGTAAAACCAAGCTGTGTCATTGAAATATATCAACAATCTGGAAGCCAATTAACTGTACAATATTAATTCATGTTTAGAATATATATCGAATCGTATCATTGATCATTTGTCATTCGTATTAACTATTTTGATTGATATATTATCGATTCGACTTAATGTGAGCTTATCGTTCGATACCGTGACTTAAAACCACGAAGCTAATTGTAAAACGACCCAATGTTGATTTATGATTGCAACGGTAATATTTGCTTCCTACACACATATTAGTATCAGGTCCTGTTCAAAGCAATAACAAAGTCAGTACGACATTGTACGTGTAACCTGATCTGTGTAAACGAATAAACACAACATTTGAACGTTCACTCTTCTTTAATGATGTCTACCGTCAACTTGAAAAATCTCCACTCACGACACAGGAAATGTACACATCGTAAACAATTTGTACGACCGGCTGATACGAATCCACGAACACGACTGGGCTTTTAGTCAGTGTTAAATCTCGCTATACACACAGAATAATACATCAAAGGTGTCGAGAGCTCTTAAAGTTTGTCGCCGAACTGAATTCAATTGACCTAGATTTTCGCAACTTGCAGGGAGCAACGATGAAATTTTCCCATGCAGATTTGACACTTACTGAATTATTGTGGAGGATCGGTCTATTTAAAAACCTTCCGTAATAAACTTGGCAAATAAATGTGTTACGGAGTATTGTTGTAGTCCGAGATTTCACACGGTTTAAATTAACCATTTTTGTCATTTTTCCTTGTTCATCCTTCCTTCCTTCCTTCCTTCCTTCTTTATTTGTTTATTCACTCACTCCGCCACTGAATCACCTCAAATGACACCCACCGCAAGACAGTAACACTCTAATAGTACCAGTTAGTAACAGTGAATACAAATATCAACAATTTATTGACATTTCACACGTGACGTACACACTGTGCAGCGATTGGCTGACGAAACAATGAATAGTATCAAACGTTACAGTGTACTGTGCTTGGATACATTAATACATCGAATTAGAATTCACGATAACATAATTTTTTCATAAATAAAAATACACTGAAATTGAGAATACCGACACTGATTCGGAAAACAGAAAGCACGGAAAAACGAAAAAGTCCTATAGTTATTTTTTTCTGATCAACTCATATTTAGTGGGGACCATTATTCCTATTGAGTTTGCTAGGGTAGATATCGTTTTTTTTCAATTCGCGGTACTTAGCCATGATATTTCTCTTTGTGATAGTTTTCATGTACAGCATATGTATGTCCAGATTTTGTTTTCGATTACGTTTTGTGTACAATAACGTGGCTACAAATAGTCTTGGTGTCAGTTCTAATCTAGATCATAATGCTCCAATAGGAATAATGACCCAAGGATTATAATATATACTGTACGTTTGACGTCGACAGTATACACCACAAAGACAAGACGTCATTCCACGTCAAATGGCTATAGCAAACATTTCATTCAACCTCCAGTACACAACTATGGAATCTACACACGTGGAAAAAAAAAATCACTGCTACCACGATGCACCATAACATATGTAATTTTTTACATTATAAAAACAATCGAGGTCTGACGTTGTTGTTTTCAATAAAACATTTTCAATTACTATGCATAAAAAAACTAAAAAAGTGATTTAACAGTATAACACGCTGTGCACGCACATGCACGTTTCAAGTTATCATGTAAGACGTAGTCACATTAAAATTGACCACAGTGCAACGACTACTTAAAAATGCCAATTCATTGGAAATACTAAAAATACGCATATATACTTTAGACATAGAGATAATTGACAAGTAATCTAAAAATACAAGCGAAACAAAATCACATATAAATATTATAAAATGCACATAGACGATCAATTTACAGGCAAGTCACGTAATTCAGTCTATAAATCAACTGATTGTGATAAGGGAAAGTGCAATTTAACCATCGTATACATACAGTTATATATTGTCACGTGCGGCGAATTAATGTTTACACAGAGCACGGTCTAAATAAACAGGACACCCATGCGTAGAATCACAATTAACAATTCATATATTTATAACAAATATTTCAAAAATCAAGATTATAGACTACAAACGAGTTTCGATTTTACTTGTATGCATCATGTCATAGCGACTGTTCGTGTTAGAGCTTCGGTCACGTTATTTCAGCTTGCCGCCGTAACTCACCCCGCACCCACGCAACTGGGGCTCTAAAATCGACGGCTCCGATACTTAAGTAAATATACACCATGAAATTCGACATGCGCACATCCAGTGACGACGTCAAGAGACCGAATACTACAATGTTAGATACGTCGGTACTGTCCTTGAGTTGTCCTTCAACCGTCCTCAGCGGAGATTCCCTTCAACCAATCGTACACGGCGTTGTAGTTTTTATCCATCCAGGCGATATTTAGCTTGACTTTGTTTAATGACTGGTAAAACGAGCTGACTTCGAGTGACGGCATGTGAGAGTACGTGCGACCAAACTGCTCCAACTAAAAAATAATGATCAAATACCAATTTGTACATATTTGGATTGTATCGTAGAATCGAAATGCCGTCGTGAGTTCAGTACTATTTTAAATTAATTGGAATAATTCAATTTTACCGTAGATGGGTATACGAGCCACGAATTAATTAAATTCGCTAATGCGCATGCTCCTTGAATTATCAGTACGTATCAGTAATTCCAAGCGCATGCGCGTTGGCGTAGTGTGTGTAAGTAAGTAAGTGCAAAAACATATTAAAAGGTACTCAAATTTATCGAATTGTCTTCATCTTTATCTTTAAATTTAACCGCAAATCATGTACAAATGTGTGATAATTAGTGTATTCCATACTCACCATGGCTAAGTCCTTGCCTCTATTCATATTGCCAGCAAATTCCCATACAGCTTTATAAGCGCTCTCCTCCTTACTATTAGAGTGAAAATAAATCTGTTAGTTACTTTTCATCGGCAGTATACATGTAACGTCACCGCTAGTAAAACAAATCTTAAACGCATATAACCGCGTCAAAAAAAAAAAAAAAAAAAAACAAAAAAAAACGCGGCACATTAATTTGGTATCAACTGCCTGGATTAGCGTCTTAGATTGTATCAAATGTAATGCCGAGAATACACTGATTTATTTACTATAAAGTTGCCACGAAAGACCGAGTAAACCATATATTTTTTAATAAAGAGGTCGAGTGAAGATGGGGCGGAATTGAAAACACGTTTACAGCCGTGAAGTAGGTTTTTATTTTATCGCCAATAGACATCCCGTAAACCTGATTATCAATGACCTATGATCGCGCGTGTATAAATGCCCTCGCGGTTTGGTTGATTTCATATGTGTTGTTTTGCATTATGTATCAGTTGGGGTAGTTATGATGTCAAATATCGTTTCCCGGCGCCCATGCGACTACTACCTGGGCAGACAGAGATCGACGGTTACTCACACGTGAACGAGCAGTTCAAAGTTATCCATTAGAAACTCCCAGGCCAAATGGTAGCCAATAGCGGACTGTTGCTTGATGTAACCAAGGGTGGTAAAGATATCGCTCATATGCAGGGACTCTTCCATGTACTCTTTAATTAGAGTGAAGTCTTTAGTACACGCCAGAGCAGATGTACTGTGCAGCATGGAAAGAGCGAATCGCCAATCATTCTCGGTTCCAGCTTTGATTGCTGAACACATCACCACTTCAATTATATCATCGGCAATTCTGTAGGGCAAAGATTTTAATTTTAGCATATTAAGAATGGAAAAAATGGGCAATTTTTGACATGACACCAACTGCCATTTAGCATGTTTGGAAAATCCTTTTGGACAATTAGACCACTGGTGCATGTCACTTACTTGTATTCACCCTGTCCATCAATCCATCGTTTGTATATACTGGTAGCAGTGTCTATACAGGGACCGTAGTCAGTGTAGCACGCACTTTCCACGGCACTTTTACGTAGATGGCTAATCACATAAAGGACATGAAAAAAGAATCGTGTTTAAAATACTCTATATATAATACTGATACTCTAAAATATTCTATTAAAAACAATAAACAAACAAACAAATAAATATCGCACTCACTAGTCAACGTGATTCTCGTATGTGAAGTTCCATCCCAATTTGTCATACATCGGTCTGAACATATTTTGAATGTATTTCTGAAAAAAATGAAACAGAACAACATATTTCCCTGAATTGAATACAGTTAATAATGCGATGTATTATGATTGACAAATAACACTAGAATATTGGCAGTAAAATGCGTTAATCAACTCAATTCCTTCAATCCTCGTGAGCGTCAGTTGAGTATTGAACATATGAAAAATGGGTGGGACAGTAATACTTAATCATACAAGTGATTATATTGTGGTTGCATTCTTACTGTCAGTTACTTAAGACTAGATTTATGTTGCGCCTGAAGTGCTAATAAAATAAGGCGAACTACACAGAGCAACACTGATATACAGAATCGTATCTCTCAATGACATCGGGGATTATGACAAATTGGAACAAATCTAATTTATACTTCAACTAATATGAACTATACGTTTTATGTCAGCTTTTTACTAAGCTTTCCAGATTCAATGTGCCCAATATAATCCCACGTTATCTGATTTGAGTATTATAACGTGTCGTCTGTATGTCTCGCTGCAGAGCCGCTTTGTTATCTCACATACAATCAATTACCATATATGGTGGAGAATTGTTATAATATAGATAATAATTGATGTTTTATTTTGTCTATAAATTGTAAAAAAAAATAAGACCGCCATGTCAACTTACTTTGTAGTACCCATAAGCCGTTGTGCGCTCAAGCATACTTTTAAAAAAGTCGAGATGGATGATGACAGCTTTAATTGGCGTATAATCTTCTTCCTTCTTAAGATAGTAGCCGACCCTGAGAGCAGTAACTGCGTCGATATCCATCGACTGGGACATTGAAAATACGTCGTCAACGAGAGCAGCTCGATTCGCTAAGGGAATCTTCTTGTGATCCTCGATAAGTTGTGCGATCAACTTCTCCCAGTTGTCCGCGTCGTAGTTGACCCTGAAGAAGCCAAGCTGGTTGATATTGCCTAGTATCCAGTCATCGTCCTCAGCGTCGGATAATTCCAAATCAGCTTTGAAAACAAATTCAAGACATAAATCATGTTAGTGTATTAAGAATTGATTGATTGGACTTTCTAATAGACTCATATCGTCTAATTTGTTTCCATGAAACTATACCTGTACATAGGTTTTAGAATTTTCCAAACACATACAACAAACCATTACTCTCCAATAAACAATATAAGTACACACAGCAAGGTTCAGTGAAATTTACCATTTTTTTATCTGACCAATCACAAAGTGGTTTCTGAGATTCAGAAGTTGTCCTTGTTAGAGGATTATATAATTATTATCACATCACTTGCATGGGCGATGCAGTAGCATCAGTTAACAACTATCTTGTATTCACATCATATAAACTCGCATGATAATATCTAAATACCAAGCAATTAATGTGTTTTTACCTGATGACTTTCGCATCCATACGTGCTTTGGATTGTCCACTATCATCCGCCCCGAGTGGGTATATGTTAATGGGACGTACCAGGATGGTCTAACAAAATCCACAAAAAAACACTATAATAAGAAACACATCGACGAATCTTCCAAGTAACGCAACTACAAGCAACCACCAATCTAGTGATACGATATTATTTTTTCTTCAACATAGTCACGTATTCAATGGTATGATTCACACATGACAAAACGCACTTCAAATTAATGCAAAAAAAAAAAGAAAAAGCGGGAAAATTAGTTATTACCCAAATCCTTCACCGTTTGGATCATTCGAGTACGGTTTCTGATCGGCCACAGCGGTCGTGTCAGTCGTTCGTGTGATTGTCACTAGTGGATACCCTTTTTGCAGCATCCATGGATCCATTACCTCCTTCACATCTACGTTAGATCTTCCAATACTCGCCTGTTATTGGACAATACAAATAACTTGTTTTAAAAATAACATATTTCATCGACTTAAAAAAACACATTATGTCTTAATATATAAACTGTAATGTCAAGACATAACACATAGTGTATATACAAGAGAAATAAGTTGCCGCAACAACACTATGTGAGGTAATTACAATTCCCGTCTATACTGACCATACGTTAGAGAATTAACGAGTTACCTGAGGGAGTTGATACCGGCTTGACCTACATGGTAGTATACTATGAACATTTACCTTAAAGTGCAAATTATATTTGTATTTCATTTGCGACTAAAGCAAATATATTATATAGGCTGCAAGGGAAGTAATTTCCCCTGAGATGTGTCAATCGACTTTCAATACACGTAAGATATACCTCTGTTAAGTATCTATACACGTCGTCAGATATTGCGTTCTTGTACATGAAGTCTCGGACGTAGTTGCGCAATCCTTCGTAGAACACCTCGTCTCCCAGAAATGCCTGCATCATTCGCGCCATGCACGCTCCCTGCAAATGAAAGGTCGACAATTAGGTTGTTAATTTGTTGTATATCTTTGCAGGGGGCACGGAACGCGAGTTTGAGCAAAGCGATACTACACTAATGTCGTGAAACGCGATGTATGAAAAACGTCCACAACGTTCGCATGGTATTTTATGTTAGTTTAGTAGAACAGTTGAGCCCCGCAATCACTGAAGCTCTTGCTGATAGAAATAAACATGCTATATCGTGTTTGTCTTCGATGCGTTTACTGGAAATTACTGACTAGATTTCATAATCGGGTGGAAATATTTTCTTATACAGAGATCAATTCAAATATTTAGAGAAATGCATCCCACAATGAAAAAAAACAAATTAACTGATATTTTAAATTATATTCATAATTATGAATAAATAACAACAATAAAACCGACCAGCGGGGAGTAAAAAGCACTAATAGGAAAAATAAAAAACATGACGTTTCGGGTTCAACCCTTCCTCAGCAAGTGGACACACGACAGAGATACACCTCACTATAAAGCATACAAACACAATAAGGAGCCAATCAAGACAAAGGAAATGAGATGAAGTGACAATTAATTCTATATTCGCGTAGTGTTTCACGTACTCGTTGATATCCACGAGAGTCGAACATCTTCCATATATCCGGTAGCCAACCAACATCCATGACAGTGGGGTGGGAATCTGCTTCAGCATCGTCTTGCAATGCCATAAATGTCGCATCTCCTTGGAAAAACTGTTCAAACTAAAATACGAACACATCAATTAATGTTATGGTTTTACTTTTCACCGAAAGTTACACAAGCCAATTTTAGCCAATTATATTTATGCAACCAGAGGTACTGCTGATCTGCACTGGCTCGGAAGATGAATTCTGATTGGCTAAAAAACTAAAAAAACTTGTGGCGTTGAATGCACGTTCATTCTCAGTAATGTTATGCAAATTAGAAATTCAAACTAGCTAATCATTTACAACCTTCCGAGCCAGTGCAGATTAGCCCCAGAGGTACATTACTTGGGGTTTGCAACTACGGTGACATGATACCAAGATCCCGTTTCAATCTCGCTCTCGCATAAGCGTTCCAACTCAGAAAAATGCGAATGCGCATGCCCGAGGTAACTAGGATATATGAATAGTTGCTCACGGATGACGGATTACGATAACTATATTTTCTGTACATTTTCGATGTATTACATTTTTTCACTATGAATGTGGTAATACACGTTTTATTGTTTTATTACAGACCGCCTATGTCATGTCAGAAGGTCGTAGCATCAGTCTCGCTATCTACGAGATGAGACTTGAATGGGATCCTGGCATGATGTCACCATACAGTACTATGCGCGTTGCAAACTCCAAGTAATGTACCGCTGATGTAACTTATAGGAAACTTACAATGTCCCACGTCGGTTCCACTTCATCCACAGCAACAAACTCGAAATAACTAGCAAATGCTTCGTTAAGCCACGTATCTGACCACCAGTCCATCGTTACCATATTACCAAACCACTAGAAGATGCACATGTATCGTTTTAATATACACTACATTTCCCAATAATGAATATATATTCTTTAACAGTCGAGTGATATGTTTGGTATGAAAGAGATAACTCGAAATCGAAAAACATATTCGTGAAATCACAATCCAAGAAATCACCACATCACAGTACGACGCAACGCAAAGCAAACAAACAACACAACACAACATTAATCGTATCCACATGGAACTCTCATAATTTAAAGGGAAACGTTTCACTCGATACTAATATTACCTGGTGAACCAACTCGTGTCCTATTATCATGGCCACCTGCTGACCAGTCGGCGGATTGTCTGAACTGACGTTGTATAACATCCGCTGCTCGGCGTAAATAACAATCCCCCAGTTTTCCATTGCTCCAAAACGAAACTCTGGAGCTGCTAGCATGTCTAAATACAAAACAATCAGGTTTTTAGAATAACACTATGCAATTTAAAAAAAAAATTATCACGATACAATGTAATTGACAAACATACCCAGCTTTGAAAGGGGATACGGAATATCCCAGAGTTCTTCGAGAAATGTTAGCATCTTGGATCCAGTCTCTAGTGCATAAACAGCAGATTCTATCCGGTCATTCCTGGCCCAGACTCTCATCTATCAAGTAGTGAGAATACATAATAAAACCACTGAACTAGATTATTCAATGTGGCACTTGAAAAGGACACAACCACCAAACACCCGGTATCACTTCTCTGTCTTAACCTTGAACACACATTTCGTTTTTTGTAAATTAATTATTATTTCATCTCATGTAGCACATTGATTTTTGTAATAATGTACACCTTGATCCATGTTTTTCAGTAAATGTACTTTGTTCCATGCGTATTGTCGTATTATAAGTCCATTGTAAATTGTTCCATGCGAATTGTACTTTGTTGAAATTCATATATGACTATTGATTTTAGATTAATGAATATATAATGGGTATTTCGGATTTATGACTTGCGCCTGCGGTTTAGTGTAATTTAGTGTAATATAGTGTAGTGTGGTCCGGTGCGATGTAGTGCGGTATAGTGTAATGTGGTGTAGTGCGGCGTAGTGTAATGTAATGTGGTGTAGTGCGGCGTAGTGTAATGTAATGTGGTGTAGTGCGGTGTAGTGTAATGTAATGTGGTGTAGTGCGGCGTAGTGTAATGTAATATGGTGCAGTGCGGCGTAGTGTAATGTAATGTGGTGTAGTGCGGCATAGTGTAGTGTAATGCGGTGTAGTGCGGCGTAGTGTAATGTAATGTGGTGCAGTGCGGCGTAGTGTAATGTAATGTGGTGCAGTACGACGTAATGTAGTGTAATGTGGTGCAGTACGGCGTAGTGTATTGTAATGTGGGGTAGTGCGGCATAGTGTATTGTAATGCGGTGTAGTGCGGCGTAGTGTAATGTAATGTGGTGCAGTGCGGTGTAGTGTAATGTAATGTGGTGTAGTACGGCGTAGTGTAATGTAATGTGGTGCAGTGCGGCGTAGTGTAATGTAATGTGGTGTAGTACGGCGTAGTGTAATGTAATGTGATGTAGTGCGGCGTAGTGTAATGTGGTGTAGTGTGGCGTAGTGTAATGTCATGTGGTGTAGTACGGCGTAGTGTAATGTAATGTGGTGCAGTGCGGCGTAGTGTATTGTAATGTGGTGTAGTGTGGCATAGTGTAATGTAATGCGGTGTAGTGCGGCGTAGTGTCATGTAATGTGGTGCAGTGCGGCGTAATGTAATGTGGTGCAGTGCGGCGTAGTGTAATGTAATGTAGTACGGCGTAGTGTAATGTAATGTGGTGTAGTGCGGTGTTGTGTAATTTGATGTGGTGCAGTGCGGCGTAGTGTAATGTAATGCGGTGCAGTGCGGCGTAGTGTAGTGTAATGTGATGTAGTGCGGCGTAGTGTAATTTAATGTAGTGTAGTGTGGCGTAGTGTACTGTAATGTGATGTAGTGCGGCGTAGTGTAATGTAATGTGGTGTAGTGTGGCGTAGTGTAATGTTATGTGATATAGTGCGGCGTAGTGTAATGTAATGTGGTGTAGTGCGGCGTAGTGTAATGTAATGTGGTGTAGTGCAGCGTAGTGTAATGTAATGTGGTGCAGTGCGGCGTAGTGTAATGTGGTGTAGTGTGGCGTAGTGTAATGTAATGTAGTGTAGTGCGGCGTAGTGTAATGTAATGTGGTGCAGTGCGGCGTAGTGTAATGTAATGTGGTGTAGTGCGGCGTAGCGTAATGTAATGTGGTGCAGTGCGGTGTAGTGTATTGTAATGTGATGTAGGGCGGCGTAGTGTAGTGTGGTGTAGTGCGGCGTAGTGTAATTCAATGTGGTGTAGTGCGGCGTAGTGTAATGTAATGTAATGTGGTGCAGTACGGTGTAGTGTAATGTAATGTGATGTAGTGCGGCGCAGTGTAATGTGGTGTAGCGCGGCGTAGTGTAATTTAATGTGGTGTAGTGCGGCGTAGTGTAATGTAATGTGGTGCAGTGTGGCGTAGTGTAATGTAATATGGTGCAGTGCGGCATAGTGTAATTTAATGTGGTGTAGTGTGGCGTAGTTTAATGTAATGTGGTGCAGTGCGGCGTAGTGTAATGTAATGTGGTGTAGTGCGGCGTAGTGTAATGTAATATGGTGCAGTGCGGCGTAGTGTAATGTAATGTAGTTTAGTATCATGCTGTGTTAAATTGATAAAATACAATAAATAATATTATGAAGTTATCCCTTGATATCACTTAATTCCTAATTTCCGAGTTACTATTTTTCTCACGAAATTCGATAGAGGGCGTTCTCAAAGTACCCGGATGACAGTCCGTTCAACGTTCGTGGTGGGGTTGAAATTTGAGCGGCGTCTGCTTGTAAGCAATATACTAGTAGTTACTGTTGCCGAAGTCTTATTTTTTACAAACGTTTTGCAAGAATTGGTCAAAATGGTTAACTGGCATTGTAATGCCGCAGACTATTCCTTGGGTTCGATTAAAAAGAAAAAACAGCGAAATATCCTGAGATGAAAGGCGTAACTTTTCATTTCTTTAGTCCAAGAAATCAACACTTCAACGCCAGTGGATTCGAATGTGTCGTCGGGAATCTGAGTGGACGCCAAACTATATTCCCGGGTTTGTTCACGGCATTTTCCATCCTGCGCCAGTATTTTGTTAGTTCAATAACTGGAGACAGCCGTCTTTCAACTGCAGTTATACATCGATTGAAAAACGAAGACTCTGTCAGCTTCCCGAGACGAGCGCAAACATTGAGCCAGATTTGATGAAAAATTCGCTCGTTGTCGATTCCCACATCGATCTTCTGTTCAGAATCCTTATGATGGCATTTTTTGCGAAGTTGAAGTTAAAATAACTACGGAAGGAAAAAAACGTGTGTCCATTTATGATAACTGCATCTGCTGATCGCCTGGTGAATAAACATATTAAATCAAACTTACACTACACAGTTACAAACACCAGAAACTATTTTAGAGTTTGATTTAATAATAAACCATGGCTTGTAAGGATTTTCCTTCATGG